ATTTTATTTCTGATATTAATTAATTTATTGCATGTGATCATTGCATGTGCTGCAAGTTCATTAACGCGAAATAAGCATTTCAGCCAAAATGTGAAGGAAAAATGGAATCTCGATAAAAGTAATTGATCCAATTTTTCTGGATAGCTGTCGTATCTTCATCTCTATTTTTCCCTCGCCAGTGTGTACAAACCTCTCTTTGATTATCAACAGGAGATATCTCTATTCTCAATACTCCTCTCGATATCGTATCGAATTAAAATCGATAATTTACCAGAATAGAACATAATATAAAGATCTGTAACATGATGTGTTGACCTGAACAGAAAACAGGAAGTCCCAATAAAAATTAATTAAACTGCACGAAGTTTTATATTGTATTAATTAAAATGTATTGAATACTTCATTTGAAGTGCGATAGAATCTATATTATTTTGAAATCATTATTATAGTATAAATATATTATAGTGTCGATTGCATTGCAAGCATCAATGTACAGTGGTGTGCATAATTGCTACTGACATCTAAACGAAAATTTAAGAAAATATCGTATTCCTATATTTCTATTTTCTGTTATTTTGAATATAAAAATATACAAATTTAATGTCTTATTAAGTCCTTTTTAAATATATAGGGTGTTTTAGTTAAAGCAGACCACCTACAGTACTCTGAATAGTTTTAAACTCAAAGTATTAAAAACCAAAAAAAAGTTACATATGCATATTTTTAGTATTTATTAATTGTAATACACAATTTAGAATTTATTAATTACAATATAATTTAGAATTTATTAATTATAATATATAAATATATAAATATGGTGTTTTGTTATGTTTCTGTTTAAATATAGTAAGAAATGTAAAAGTTATATATATACTTTGAATTTATAATTATTCACATCACTGTATTTGTCACTTTGTCATTACTGATTTTACTTAACCTTCCAGCAGTGTTCGTAAAAGCTTACTCGAATGCTGTTCGGGTCACATAGATCCAATTAAAAAAATACTTGCACACCTGTGGAAACTATACCATAGTGCAACGTTTTTAAACTTAGTGTATGAAAGAATATAATAATTAATATGAAAATGCAAAAAAATTGTAAATATTGATTTGCGCAATTTAAAGAATTTGAGTCCTCTAAGTTGGTAATTAAAAAAGTTCTATCAGTCTAATTATAGATCCGTATCATATAGATCATAAACACTGTAAAAGAGTTAATAATAGGTCCAATCTTCTGCATTATCGATTATAGTTTGGCAACGTTTCAGCATGCTTTCTACTAATTTTCCGTGCGAAGCAGGCAGTGATTTCCACGTTTTCCAAGTGCAGCTAATTGAAGCTCTTAACTCTAATGAAAGTTTGCCTCAAGTTTGTACTTTGAAATACACTAAACATTTTCTATGACTTTCGTGTACGTTGACATTTATTTCCGGCTAAAACTTAATCTTTAAGACGCTCTAAACTGTAAATATTGTTGTACCACAAAATTTCGTTTCTTTACTTCTACGAGTCAATAATTATCACAATTGTCATTAGTTATTATTATTAGACCACGAATTTTATTCACCTATAACAAAGATAATTACCCAAAATACAAAATTGAGAAGACATAAGACGAAAATAGGATAATATAGTTACACTATTTTGAACTTATTCAGATTTTAGGAAGAAGCAACTTATTTATATTTAATTCCTGTTTTTTGCAATCGTATTCAGATATTTTTATTTTGCACAAAGATTCGCGATCTAGTAATTACGAACAACGAAAACAACATTTCGGTCACGTATAACTATTATTTGTAATTAAAAAATTTGAATCAAAATAACAATGTACCACATAATATCATTTTTCTTATTGATTATAACTAGATTGTGGATTTTTATGTAAAATAAGATTTACTACTTCTTTTATTAACTTTAATAAGTTGGAAGGAATACAATAGTATCTTTAAATTCTTTTATAGTTTTGGCTCTCGTATATTTAATGTAACTATTTTTATTATAAATACACACACACACATGAACGTCCGTAGTCTATTCTTAACATTTCTTATTTAGTTCAAGAAGAAAATATTTTACGAATAGCTGAAGTAGAAATCTAAACTCATCAAATCCTATAAAAGTATAGTCCTCACGCGACAAGAAAGCACCTCCATGTTTACATCCCTCCCCCCGTCTTGCTAACTGCCCCACTGCCAGAACCATCGATTGCTATTGACCGAAAACTGTGACGAAGATCACTGTTGGCCAATAGCGACTGAGAGCTGCGGTAGTGGGACAGCTAATAAGAGGGGGGATGTAAACACAAAGGTGCCTTCTTGTCGCGTGAGGACTATAATTAGGTCAAACAGATTATCCGAATTGATTTCGATAGAAACATCGGTATGCTATGCATAAATCTATTCTGCTGTTAAAATACAGTTGTTTTAAACTCTCTGATCCAATGAGATATTTGTTTTTTAACGCGCAAAAGTGTGTATCTGTCATGTGACTACTTTATATTTAAAGATTAAATTGTTTATGCTTGTTCACAAGCTGAGGCACAATTGGGGAGAATTTAGTGTACTTCAATGTTAGGCCGTACAATCGGCTTTACAACCAGATAGATTCATTTAAAATCGCGATATTGCAACGATTTTCTATGTGCCCCATATATAGGATAAGTCGATTGTGATTTCTCACTGAGAGATTATCTCGTATCACACGAAACGTCGGATTTCTTATCAGCCGCAAATTGATCGATCAAGTGATTAATCATATAGAATTATTTATGCGCCAGAAACACGTTTATAAAAGAGAATAGGAATAATGCATATTGCATTAATACACATTTTGCATAAAGACCCACGCTCTAGTTATGACAGGAGACATATAAAGTTTTCATGCTAATGACTGTGCGAATATGTGATGTCACGAATACCTTTCTCAGTACTATTCATAATGGTTCACACGCGGACGTCGCAGTCCGGGTCCATTTTGACCCAGATCATAAACATTGTCATTATGGAGCAGATTATATGGATTTATGAGAGAAATGAGTAGTTGCAATTTGAAATAATAGAATAATTGATATAATTGCTGAGTACTGAAGTATACAGGGTGGTCTACGCAATTGTTTCAGGTAATAACTTCGTTATTAATGCATTTACAAAAAAATGCCAAAGAAGGAAGATAAATGGCTCGAAGAATACTACATTTGTTGATCCTTAGATCTTTTTTGAGTGCATCGGTGCATGTGTAATTAACGACTGCATCGTTTCTTTAAGTGGAAATGCATATTTTTGATTTCACGCATCGATTTCTCTGTTCATTCCACGTAAAACATTATTAGGGTATCATGACGAAGAAATTAAAATATGTGTTGAAACGAATTTATAATTAAAATAATAAATGGTCCCCATACTCAGTTATATTTTTGTCAAAAAGATTCGATTAATAGAAAAAGACCGACAAGATCACAAGAAAAATTAGGTTTAGATGAACGCGGGAAATCTAAAATCGGCATACAAGAACGAAAGAGTGGGAAACGTGTTCATGATAACAATAAACAACAATCAAAAAGTTCAAGCGCTCTACTGCCAAATTGTAGTATAGATCTATCTTCTATAAAATTGAAGTATCCAACAGTTTCTTATTTTCAACATTACATCGCCTTCCTGCTGATATCTGAAATCTGCATGCACTAACATGATCTTTACAGTAACTGTAAAATCATACTCTACCAATTGCTGTGCTTTCGGCTTGTTTTTGGGCATAATTAATTTTATATTTATCAAGTAGGACATACTATATCTTTCTTATTCAAAAATGATGAAATTAAAAGAATAAAAAAATTCAATATGTCTTATTCGATAAATATAAATATAAAGTTAATTACAGCCTCATGCTTCAATTTCCCAAGTAAGCTATTTAGGACGCTGTACAAAGATCCTGTTGCTTCCTCGAATATTGCAAATTAGTGTGCCGAATTTAGCAGGGTCGTAAATCCCGCTTTGTTTGCTTGCGACAATATTAAAGGACCGCCTGCGAAGTTGGATATTAACAACGCCACGTTGAAATTAATTTAGAATGCTCGATTTAACGATTGATATACCAGGGTAGACGAGCCAATTACTGTGCCTGAAAAATAATCTTCGGCAAGTTTTGTTGAATAAAGCAGTTTCATTGACGTCTCTAAACATTTCGGATTATATTTCGAGGTTCGTCTACTTACTAAACACTTCTTTCGAATAAAAATATTGAAATGAATTTGAGATATTAATCGAAATAAAAAGAAAATTTATGAGTTATTTATCGTGTTGGTAAATTGCATGTGAATATTACGTAGTTAAATATATTTGATTATTGTATTTCCCGCATGTAAATACTATTTCAAGGAAAGTTTATTTGTGAAATTCTGTGTTAGACCTATGTGTAGACCTATGTACTTGATAATGAAATTGTTGAGGTTCTGCAAGGCCTGAACAGATGATCGGTTATATTGAATTTTAGTTCGTAAAAAGTTTGTCGTTAGGATAAGTGACAGCTGAAACACTACCTCGAACGTCGACTACGGAGTTGTAGCCCCCTGAGTTCACCTAATAATGTCCCTAATTTCGAACGTCTGCCATTTTAAATGCCCGTCCCAAAATAGGTACAATAGCATATGAAACACGCATGCCAGTTGTTCCGTAAATCGGAACAATAACAAAATTGAAGTATACAATGTGGAACAGTATATTTTTACTTAGAAACAGTTGTATTCGAATAAACATTCTTTTATAGCTGCTTGTTACCCAACGGTATTTGTGCGAGTGAATTTCTAAAGAACAATGTAGAAAACTGTGGGCAGAATTTTTACATCCACTTTAATGTGTTACATCGATTTTTTATTGTATTGTTTGCGATAGTGCTTCTACCAAGGGTCATAATTGAGCGGTGTTTCATAATAGGTGCTTTTACCTTAATTTACCTTAAATTATTATTGCCGGTTCGTATTCATTTGTTTTCCATGGTCGCAGATTCTGTGGCGAGCAGCACGCAACGAATTCACGTTTCTCCTGAACCACTGGCAGCCCTCCATCAGACGTCAACGTCCATCACTTTTCCCTCGAGCTCATCTACGACGTCTCCTTCGACCGCTTCCAAATTATCAGCGAGTATTTCGAACGAGCTCACCACATCGGTCTCGAGTGAGTCGCGGAAAGACTCGATGCCGAAGGTGACGCTGAAGCTCAGGGAGAACGAGACAATACCGCAGAGGTACATGAAGGCTGGCATAGCCTCCTACAAGAAGGGGAACATCACTACGAGCGTCCTGGCGCATGGCCTAAGTCTCGAGGGATTAATCTTCAAGACACCGGAGGGAACGATAAAACCTTGGCCGCAGAAGTGGTTTTTCACCGATCCCGCTGCCGATTTCCAATGGAAGGTAGGTGGACTTTCAATTTCAAAAGAGTGCAAGGAAGATTACAGATTTCCGATTGAGATTCGTCCGCTTTCGGACCACGCCAGAATTATTAGTAAATCATGTTCGGAGACAATAGGTTATATGTAACAAGTCCGTTATCGTTTTCTTGGGAGAAAGGGCGTTTTAATTACTGTGACCATCAAAGTGACGTCCGAAGTTTTCGATATGTATTTATCTTTTATAATATCTTCTTTAGCTTCGCTGATATAAAAAAAAATGTGTCAGGACAACTTTGTTCAGTTCGAAGTTAAGAATATTGTGATTCATGTAAGTATAGTACAAGTCAAATTATTGTAAGGGCGCGGTAACCAGGGGAAAGCACAGTAATTGACACACTTGACCTATAAGGCGTGCAGCCGTCGACGCAAACGGACTTATTATACATAGCCTAATAATTTCACATTAATAGGTGCTTCAAATAAAAAAGAAACACACGTAAAACTGTTTTTAATTTTACTTTCTTTAACGTTTTACGTCACAAAACATACCGGGAAAGTAATATTTACATTTATTTGAGGTACTAATATAGTCCATTTCAATTCCAAGTCAGGTTATCGATAGTCTGGTTATGTCCTGCTCTAGATGCACTAGAAGAAGTGTTATCAAAATTAATGACCTAACGATTGCGACTTCTTCTTGCAAGTAAAAAGATAGATAATAGGTAATAGAGAAAATATAAATCGAATACACCGTTAACTATTGCAAGAATATACTATGTATCCTTTGATTAGAGCTATAACTAATTAAGCATTATCGTTGGTAGAGGCAACCACTCTAATTTCTCAATAGAAAACAAATACATATATTCAAAAAGTTTCGTACGAAAATTCACGACGAAGCCGTAAACCAAAATATATACAATCGAGTTATACAATAAAATTGACAAAAGGAAGCTGATAAAGTTCAAATAAAATTCTGTTGCAAGCTCTACTTCGAAGGACAAGAGCGTATTTATTTGATTCGAAGTCCAAAATAGGAGTGTAATTCGTTTGTTTGTGTAATTTCTTACCGGAACCCGTAGCGATCGTCGTAACTTTGGCACGGATAAAAATGGAATTTTGAAGAAAACGTGGTGCACGTTAAAGTTCACCGTCGTTCCCGAACGTCGATTACTATTTAGCATAAGAGCGTGATCGCCGTGCTCCAAAGACGGCGAAACTGAAATACCTAGAGACCGATCGATAACCGGAGCACGTTCGTGAATCTAAAAGTAGAGACTGGAAACGGTCGGTTTCTTTATTCCCGAGCAACGTTTCCCGCTAGGTCGCCATTATCTTCATCTCTTGGCCCGCGAAACAGACATATCGTTTCCTTCCTTCCTCTCTCTCTCTCGGGGGACTATGTATTCCGTCCGTTCTCGTCACTAATTTTCGACCGCTCCGTTTTGTTTTATCTCTTAATTTCTTAGCCGCGAAACAGCGTCGCGCGACGAGCCGCCGATTATTATCCGGGCGTATCTCTTTCTGCCTTAGTTTTTAAGAGAGAAACGAGGACAACTTCGGTGATGACACGAAAATCGTTGGGCGGAACAGCGCGAGACAAGAAAGCCATTCATTTTGTTGAAACACGGGCATTACCGGCAGTGAATAATTGTTGTCAAGCGTAGGAATCAGCATGAATTTCTGCATGAATTACGAAGTTGTCGCTATTGTGGCTTTCGCGGGCGTGCTCGGCGTATCTCTTGGAAAAATTATCGTTACAATACACTGCTCTAGTGCGGCAGAGAGGATCTTTAGAGATGATTTTAAAAGCGGGACAGTTGTGTTTGATTATTTAGTGGAAAGCGTTCCGTTATCTGGAGCAGAGATTTTTCGGCGAGAGAATGGGGAAAGTTGCAGTTGTTAGGGGAGCGGCGGCATGAAATGGACACCTTTGTTCCGCACACGATATAAAAAAGGACCATTCTCTTTCTATTTGGTCTCGATGGACAGCTCGATTATCTGATTATTAGACTGCGGATGCTTATGCAAAATTTATACGTCGAAATATGCGAAATATATGTAAAATTAATGCAGAATATATTAAGAAATATGAAATATAGACGCAAAAAAATATGAAAATTATATGCAAATTGTTTTATTATCTACACTATTCATTACCACTTACTATTGTTACAATTGTACTTGCTAATATTTACCGTAATTTGCTTTATATTGTATTACTATTATTATTTCTATAATGATAAACGAAATTTCTATCCAAGTCCCATAAATACGTACATATATTATATCTGTTTCCTACAAACATATGAATTTGCATAAACATCCGCGGTCTAAATAGAAAGGGCGAAATAGAATAGACCAAATAGAAAGAGCCAAATAGAATTTGCATAAACATCCACAGCGTGTTGTCGTATTTCTCGTTTGCATTTTTTTCGTAACCACATTTTTTCAAATAGTTACTATGATATTTCAAGTGCAAGTTGACTGATTACGACCAAATTTGGCAGTCATCTTCAGCACATGTGTCTCTATCACAAATAATAAAATAGTCGTAAAATATCGTAATAAAATTTTTTAAATCTAATATTTTTAACTATTTCTCTTTTGGCACGCTAAAGTTGAAGACAAGCGCAAGAAATTGATAACCTAACTTTAATAATACCTGACTGCCACAAAATGTTCTCTTTGATATTTTTATACACGTTTGGTATCGACAACAGTCACGTTCATATTGAACATAACGGATGTTTGTTTGTCCATTTCGGAGAAGAAGAACGATCGGAATCGTGGCAACCGCGCAGGCATGTTCAATTGAAGGGGCACTACTAAACCAGCTGTATCTTCGATAATTCTAAATATTTTTTCATGAAAAAAATAGTGTATATTCCTCAAATATAGGTCAAAACCATGTCATAAATCCCGACACAATAATGTCTTTATGGTTCTTAAAAAAACTCCCAAATAGCACCTAAAAAATTGACTACTAGACTAGAATACCCCCTGAAATTGATGTCCAACATCAAAAGACAATTATTACACAAAAATATTAATGATTTCAATTTCACGAAATGTAAGTGCCACATTAGCAGCGACTGTTGATATCTGCGACGAACGTTCATTTGGTCCTGGAATAAATATCGAAAAGTCTGTTCTAGTTTCGCATCGAGCGAACTTCGATAATTTAGAATAAGGTGTTGTAGGGTATCGCGTTATTAAAGGGAGTTTTGTGTTCTTGTAACTGCGCACAGATGTGGGGATCATTTATTATGAACTGCTCTATTTAATAAACACGGGGCTTAAAGCTATTATCATGCGGAGTTAGTTAAGTGGGACAACATTTCCGATATTGAGTTTTGTGTCATCACGGAGGATTAATTTACTCCTTATTTAAACGGACATCGTCCGTAACGAATGCATCTGATCACCTATATATACCTTGCTCCGAAGATAGATTATGCAATGTTGTTTAAGGCATTCTGCAGTAGTCTGTTCTACCGTTACCGCAATACAAATTACAATACAATACAATGAAGAATTTGTTTTCTCACGCTTTGCATATTTCCATGAAAAATGGAAGTTTACACTGAACCTTCGATATTGGATTTCGTTATTTCATATAAAAGCAACCTCATCGTTTTATCTTTTAGGTGTGTGCAATAGAATTTTTATTAACTTTCGCAGATATATGAACCTCTTAGTTGACAAATAGCGTAAGTCCCGTTTCTTAATATTGTGAAAATTGAACCTTTGTGTAATACTTCATAAAAATTCAGAACAGAACGTAACTTTATTTTAATGAAGTAAAGTGAACGAATAGAAATTACGATGACATAATTTAAAGGAAAAACTATATTTCTTTGGTCAAATTCTCCTCTTCCCAAATTACTGTATTACGAAAAAGGCAGTCAATACTTTCCAATAGATACAGTATATTATTACTACATTTTTCAGTGGATACATGCATGTGCAAATTTTGTTCCAATCTTTCTGGACACTCTGTATGTTGCGTGGAATAATGAGTGAAGTCCACGATTTAACCCACTTTTAGTTTTGTCAATTTTAACGTTGTTTATTTCTAGGGGCTGATCCAAGTACCTGTAACAATTTACGTAGTCCTGGCAGGACTGGCAGCCTTCGCCAGTGGTAGCATCGTCTTGATGTTCTACATGCAACGGAAAACTACCAGGCGTCAGCGTCAGAACGTGGAGGAACCGGAAGCCGGCGGTCAGGAGGAAGACAAATCGACCTTGCTGGGCGCCGAGAGCCAAGAGATCGAAGAGAAAGAGTAATCGTGATCTCGAAGCATGGAAAGCGTGTAGCATCCAACAGTCGTATATTTTTACAACACTCACACCGGTTTGGCACAGGTATCTTGCGCGCAAGACCGAACGGACGACTATGGATACATTTTGGTGAGCCGAACCGTTCTATAGATTCGTTTGGTCGAGCGCTTGAAACTCCATTCAAGGAATTGACGACTAAGTATCGACGTTCACATTCGTTTGATTTGGTTCGCGCAGAGAACGAGAGGGCTGCATAAAACCTAATCAGCAAATACTTCCAAAAATATTGATAATCACTGTCGCCGAAAGACGGCCGGACTATTTTAGACTATTCTCAAGCTGTCCACGATTTTCCTCATTTTACATGTTCAAACTCATTTTCAATTGTTGTCTCGTACTTCCTTAGACTAAGGAGCCGTTCAGGCGCGGAAACAAAGACTTTTTAGCTATGACCGATTATGGTTGACGAGTGAATATGTTGTCCTTGACGTCGTATCCGTGTTAAGAACCCGCGAGCAGAAGTAAAATCGCGAGGGACGCGTGACCTAGCTACTACACGTAGGAACGTTAATTGTCATCGACTAGGCGCCAATTAAACTTACATATCAACCGCAATCTGAGCATTTTCTAAATTAGTCGATACTTATCCGGAAGTATTATTTCATACCGTCGATATCTTTGGAAATATTCACACCTCGGGTTTTATACATCTCGTCTTCATTGTCGATAGTCTTATCGCCGTAGCAAGAACGAAACTTAAAACGAGTCGCGGCCGGTGCAGTCAGGAGAAACAGCCACGCGAGGCAGCGCATGCGCAGGGAGCTCCGCACAGCAGCGTGGGGCGTCCACCGGGCGAAGATTGTAATTCTGAACTACGATGGCGACGCGGCACAGAGGCTCAGTCTGATCACCCGGTGGATGCGCCACGCCGCTGCGCGGGACTCCCTGCGCGTGCGTCGTCGTCCCACTCCATGCGTAGCGACTTTTCCTGACTGCATCGGTCGCGGCTAACATTGGTGAAATACAAATATCCGAAACATGCGCGCGCACGTTTTGAGAACTCCTGCTAGATTCCATGACGCCCGGTCGTCGGCGATCGGTGGTCATGGTTTTTACTTTTGATACGAAAGACGTCAGGTAATTTTTACTGAGTATCGTGAAATAATTTGCAGCGATAATCGATTCGGTATTCGTTCGCCAGCGGATTTCAGGCGACATTGCTTTCGTATTAAGCTTCGCGTGATACTGTCAGAGGCAGCTATTAAAATAACTGCTCTTCGAGATACCTCTATACGAGCCGTTTAACGTCTCCATGACGATCAAAGATCAGCCTATGGAGTGAAATCTTTTGTAAAGAGAATCGGATTCGACCGGTTGGTTCGGCGCGTTTGCTTCTGCATGAACACGAATGTACAATACACCGCTCTCGAATGCGATTCTACAGGGTGTCCCAAAAATGTTCGAATAGGTCGAAACGGGTTACACCTGAGAACATTCGAAGACACTTTGTGTGAAGCGAAAATGTTCTCCGTGGCTTTGTTGACGAGTTATTAGTGAAAAGTATTGATAATCAGAAGCCGAGCGTGACACGGCAGTGGCCGCGGAAGAGCGACATCGGTCACTCGCTCTCCGATTGGTCCTTGTTTCTCGTTGTTAACTCGTTAATAGAGCCGAAACCAACATTTTTCCAAAGGGAAAAGCGTCTTCGAATCACTTTAGGAATCAGCCATTTCATTCGATTCGCACATTTCTGGGACACCCGGTAGGAATTGATACGATAGATAGAAGTCTTCAAACACAAACGCTTTCCATCGATGCTTACTAAAATCTGAGCCAGCTTCCATATGGATATTTGCAGCACGGTGCTTTGATGCGCAGACGCATTGCTCTCCGACTACATTTCGTTGACATAATTTTAAGAGATGTCTTTATCGTCCACCGATATTGTTGAATATTGTTCGCTAACGGAATCGATCGATGACGATCGACGCGATACGCTTCAATGATTCTTTTGCGCTCGATTACAACCAACGCGAAATCACGTTCTTGATTAACGATTAATGATTAAGGAGTCCAACAATCGTCAATAATAAATTAATTGAGAAAGACGAAAGAAACGAACGCGACCATAACAGAATAAATGGAAATTTTAAGGTTAATGGTGGCATTGATACTCGGCGTTGTTTTAACTTCTTTTCGTGACAGTTTTATGATATTTTTTACATGGAAATGAGATTGCACAGATTGAGTTAAGTCCAGAGATCTATTGAAATAGCAAATGATTTCGTACCGCTTTTCGTAAAGTTGCTCCGGTAATAGCATGCATAATAAAGGAATGATCTCGTTGACGATTAAACTGTACGCAATGAATATACAAGGCGGTTCGTAATTGGTGATACGATTGAGTCCGAAACGAGTTCACGAGAAAAAATGAGGCGGAAACGTGATAAAAATATTATTCACACGAGGCTTTCGTTTTCGAGACAATTAACTTTCAAATTTGTGATAATATATTAATTTTTGTTAAACATTGTATCTAGAGATTTATTTGAAAAGAAATTGTTCGAATAGTATGAAGGTACACCACGCAGAATAAGAAGTATAATTTTTCTATATTATTATAGCCAGATCTCGATTGAATATCGTATTTTGTCATCTAAATATTTTTGTTTATCGATGAATATTCTTTGTTATCGAGAACAGTAAGCCTAAACATAAAGAAGGATATATACTATAACAAAATCTAGTAAGTCGAGATTTTCTAAATATAGCATATTTGATAAATTTCGTTAATCAATTTCCTTGAAAACTAAGCATTTTACATTTTCTTCGTCGACTCGCCTTTGACACAATTGTAGCTACGTCATTGATTTCGTAAATGTCAATAATCAATAATAAACAGAATTTCGTTAGAAACTATTTTCGATAATTTGTTATATATTTTATGAATTTCTAGAAAAACACTTAAAAACACTGCTTTCTTATCTCGTTAGTTAAACCAATATTTTCAACTTATTTTTCTAAATCAGTCTTCGCATGTGATACGGTTTTCTGATTAACTAGCAGAGTGTTTCTAACAAGTGAATCTAATATAACATGCAAACGGTACAATACAGGTAGAAAATCAGTCTGAAGAACGACGAGTGTCTTCGCTGTATGAAGTCATAACGACAAGTAACATTCAATAATTGACATTCGAAACACTCTTTGATTCACGTACAAAATACAATACACAATATATGCCGATTGCTTACCACGTGATCTCATTTGACACGTGTTGCTACCAGTCATCTGGTCCCACGAAACTATGAAAAGCAAATTAATTTTGTAATATTGCCGAACAATTAAATGATCTCATGATGGTACTGATAGATTCGAAGAATAAGAACTGATACAATCTTGCTCTCTTCCTAAATTCTACTGCGAATGCAATTACGGATATCCCGGAGAATATTTTAAATAATTGATTGAAAACATCCGAACGTGTTTGTTTACAATTGAATACTCTGGAGAAAGAAACTTTGCTGCAACAAATTCGTCTTTATTCAGCATTATTTTTACGTACTTCTCGTAACACGATTTACAAAGTGAGATACGAATAAGAATTTAAAAATGAATGAAATTTATTAAATTTACAGTAACTGTCGAGTTACAATATTGTACGGAATATCCTATCGCAGCTATGATGTAGAGGGATTCATTACGCAGGTCAGCATTAATTTTAGTGCCAGAAAGTTTAGACCTGATTTTGAGTATACCTGGTACACAATTTCAGTTAATCTACATCGAAGTACTATGTCCACAAACAATATAATCTTGCGAATATTTTTTCAAATTGCAGTGGTAGATATTGTAAAAGTGAATTTGGCTGAACTTTTGAAAACGTCTATGCTCTGTTTTGACTAAAATTTTGCTAATACTTTTGTATAGATGTAATGTTTGCAATAAGGATTTTTGGCGAATCGGAAACAAATTTTTTGACATTTTAATCACATTGCCTATCTTGCCGACAGGACGCAATATAACGTATAATCCTCGCGCGACAAGGAGGCACCTTTGTATATTGCCCCTCTTACTAGCTGCCCCACTGCTGCAGTTATCGTCCGCTAGCGACCGCTATAGAACTTCCTCACCGTTTTCGGCCAATAGCGACCGATCGGCAGTGGGGCAGCTAGTAAGAGGAGGAGCGTAAACGCAAAGGTGCCTTCTTGTCGTGCGAGGACTATACAGAGGCGTGGCCCAGAATTAACCAAAATTTAACTCAAACCTAACCTAGACCTAATCCAAGCTTATCTACCCGGAAGTAACGTCATTGTAACGGTTCTTAGGCGGGATGTTGTGGGACGAGGTGGGAACAAAAAGAAGAGACCCAGCCCAATCCTTGCAATCATCGTTTTTGTCAAAGGAGAACCTATTTCCAAAATTTTAGCCAATTCGAAGCACGATGATGTTGAAAATTTTCGGGATGCATTCCCTGTCGAATTAACACTGATATAGAACATTACTCAACGGTTGCCTTTGAAATGAATTTAACCCGAAAATACAAAAACTCCAGATTCATAGGAACAGACTATTAATTTCTTAGTTACGCGTACATACACTTTATTTTTATAACGATATTCTAAAAGAGTGTGAAAATATTTACATAGACATCTTTAATTTGTTTAAAGGTAAGATAAAAATCGAATACATTTCTCGAAATAAATTATACTTTCAATTTGAAAAAAATAATTATGTTACTTCGTTTTATGTGGGCGGCGTTACTTCATAGCATTTGTAAATTTTTCGATAGTTCGAAACTAAAGTTACTGCGTAAACTTCGTCGGAATTTGTTATTTAAACGAATAGTCTAAGACGAATTACTTGGAAATTTTAAATGTAAAGACTGTGTATTCTTTGGAACAGGTCGATATGTTCAAATTGTGATTAGAGTGTCCTTTATTAAAATTGTAATTTTTCTAAGGCCTAGAGTGAAACAGAGTTTCCACTGTGAATACATTTTCGCTACACTTATGCGCGTACTTTTTGTTGACGGAATATAATCGAAACAATAAAATGTTCGCTTGAAATTACATTCTGCATTCGAACATGACACGTCGTTCAGTATTTTTCGAGCAATATGTACAGGATAAGTGAGAGAATATTCAGTATTAGTCGAATGACAAATAATTGGACATTAACAATCGATGTTTGCAAATGCGTTTATTATTAAATCATTCGATTGGAACTGTGAAAACAGTATAACGCAAAGTGTAACAAATTCGTGGAAATTTGTTAAAAAATTTGAACATTGTCGATCGAAACTTTCAATACTCATTTGTAACTGTAAAAAGAGTTTTGTTATATCGACACGTCGAACGATTGTTGTATACTAATTTGTGATCATCTATACAACGCGAAGTATGAAAAATCGGTGATAATTTTAAATTGTAAAAAGATGCGTTGTATCGGTGTGAAAATAGATGTTGAATGACGGATGTATAATAATTTTTTGTGATCATTCGTGCAACGCAAAGTATGACTTTGCGATGATTCGTCCGAATGATTGAACATCGTCAAAATAAATTTTTAATGTGTTTATTTATATAAATCATTCGAATGTATTAATCTTGACCTGTAAAAAGCTTAGTTGTATCTATACGAAAATATACGTCGAATGATTATTGTGTACTAATTTGCGATCGTTCGTCCAATATGAAGTATGAAGGGTGCGTGACGATTTGTTCAAATAATTGAACATTAGCGAATCGATGTTCTCCGATGTATTTATTCATAAATCATTCTAATGCATTAACGTTGAACTGTAAAAAAGCTTTGTTGTATTGATGCGAAAATACACGTCGCACCATTGTTGCATAATAATTTGCGATCGTTCGTACAACACGAAGTGTGACAAATTCATGTGCATGTGACGACGAGTATTCTTATAAAATATAATCTCAGTTTTTTGTTCAAATATAAATTGTTGACACACCGCGTAGCGATGAGAAGAAGTTGTGAAACATTCGATGAGTGAATCTCAGTGTATCTAATGAATGATTTAATCGATTTTGTTCTAGTTCGTTATAGTTTTCTTAAAGACAACAGAATTTGAAAATGAACGTCTGCAGTTTCATTTAACGGTTAAGAAACAATCCAGATTGCGTTAACGAGGAGTTTGAATATTCCTGAGAACAGAGTTTGGCAAAAAGTAATCTAATTAGTGTATAACAATTACAGCTAACGTGAAATACCGTTCACGATTAACGTTTACGATTGCTGAGAAATCGCGAGTTATCATGATTAATGAATAACTTAAATAATCAATAGAAATGTAATTATATTATTGGTCGTGACTAATTCAGTGATCATTAATCATAAAATGATTACTTAATTTTCTTTTTATATTTACTTAAGTAGTTCGAAATTATGGTGAATATTATTCATTTCTTTTTACATTTCTACAATTACAGATTACCGATTAATGTTTACTGATCACCTAATCTGATCATGATTACTGTTTTATTTCAGTAATGATTAATTGATTAATGATTACATTTGTCATGGTTACTGTTAACAAACAATTATAAGATTATTCATCCTGCGCGATTACAGATTATCAAATGTTTATAATGATTAATGATTTACTCCAGTCATGATTAATTGATCAGTGACTAATCATGATTACTGATTTATTCCATTAAGGACTCATTGATCAATGATCGTGATTATCACGATTATTTTTAACAATCAATTATACATGATTACTGATTTATTTCATTAAGGACTCATTGATCAATGATTATGAATTTTACGATTACTTTTAACAATTTATTCTAAAACTATTCAACCATGTTATTAAAGTAAATATTACCTAATGTAATCATGATTACTGATTTATTACATTAAGAACTCATTGATGAATGATTATGAATAATCACGATTACTTTGAACAATTAATTACAAAACACACATTCATCCTGGTATTAAAGGTTACCGATTACGTGATTACCCAATGTAATCACAACTACTTTTTAGACTACACGATTAGTTTCAGTCATAAAATAATTCATTTCTCGATTACAGATTATTGATTAACGATCGCAGACTAACAAATGTCGCTGTAATTACTAATTCATTCCAATAACAAACAATTGATTAACGATTTCCAAGTGTAATCATGATTACTAAAATATGCCCGCGACGTTTAACTGGTTACTGATTACGATCAACGCGGTTACTGTTAACAATCAACTAAAAAAGTAGTCGCAAAATAATCGATTACAAGTAACGATGCTCTTGCGAAGCAATTCAAATAACGTCTAAGATTAATGGAGCTAGTGGAGGATTTAACGAGAGCAATCGACGTTTCTACGACAGGAATTTTTATAGGGAAAATTCGTAGTGTATCCACGCGTCGACCTCGACGGATTCGCCGGGGTGTAGTTTTGACCGATACGCCGAAAATATTCGCGAACGACAGATGTATTGTTCAATTATCCTTTGTACCGATCAGTTGTCTAAGCCCGATAATCGAGAGGCGGGTGAGATTTTCGACGAACCCGTAAACTTTTATTTTTACAAACGTTCTACGGTTCTCCGGAGCCGATGAACCGCGGGTGTGTATATCACAGAAGTAGTAGGCGCGTGTACAGTTCTGTACAAAAACGAAAAAACGAAAAAAGAAATAAAAACCGAGAGAACAAAAGAAATGAGCGAAAAAGGAGGAATGATGTCCGACGTGTTTTCGTGGTAATAAAATGAATGGACTCATAAGTAACACAATAGTGCTGTAGCTAAAGAGAAAGACGGTTATAGTTTCTATTTTGAAGATTATATTTTTTTAACTTTATTAATTTTTGACTTCCACATACATATATTTATATATATATACATACTATATAATTGTATATACGTATTCATATAACTATTATATACATATAAATATATCTATATACATACATTATAAATATTGTTTAGCGAGTAATATGAAGCAACACGTACGCGAGATGAGTCAGCTAAAAATGGAATTGCCGGTTTCGTTCGGGTCTCGGTGTGGAGATTCCAACGGCGGTTGTCTGTGTTGTAAACATTTGTACATACATACACACACGCGTGCATAGCCTTAGCCAAATTTTACCGTGACGCAGATATATGTATGTAATATACTTCGTTCAACGAGGACTGGCACAAAATATAAACGGCTGCACGCGAGCGACACGTGATCGGGGTAGGTCCGAAACACAGGCCCTTCTACACGAGGCTACTCTGCATGCAGGGACCCTCAACGAGGGTCCTCTAAAAGAGGACCTCCGAGCATCGTCGTCCAATAGTGCGACGTCACGTGAATGTTCTGTTTCCATTTGATGCCAGTTCTCGTTGAACATAGTATAGAACTCTGGAGAAATTTGATACGCAATTGGGAGACACTCCTTGCAGTTCTCAAAAGAGTAAATAAGACGTAGGGACAACTAGACTGCGGATCTTATTAATGTGTGGGAACAGTGAGTGCAATTTAAAACAGTGACGGAAACATCATTTTTAACTCGTTAAAGTTGTTAAAGAAAGTTAGAGATCTGTGTAAGTGTCTTATGTTTCTCGTGGAATATTCTTATTTCGCACGAAGATCCGCATTCTAGTACATTGTTGACACTGCAGCCATAAATTCAGCAATCAGAGGATTTCAGTATTCGCAAAGTACTTCGAAGACAAACCGTTAGATTTGGGAAGAATGAAACGCGAAGACGATTTTTTGATCTCATAACAAAAAGAAAAGATATATTATTTTCCATTGAAACGTATTTTTCCATATTTCCGTGACGGATACAATAGCGACGACGTTTAAAATTCCAATTTTAGATGAATCACCTTGTACATATATTGTATGTATTCGAGAGGAGAGGCCGTGTAACGCTTGAGATCGTACTGTTTTTCTATTGCCGTACAATTGATACGACGAAATCATTGTTTGTATCGTTTATGCCGAGGATTTCGAGGTAGCGACTGCAGCTAGACAAAAGTTGTACGTTAAACGTCGAACACTGGGCGCAGCAACTTGTTACTCGAAACATGTGATACTTTTGCCTTTGGACTATTAAGTTTTTCGAGTTTAACCGAAGGAGGATTTATCAATCTGTTCGAATTACACTTCGATCGTTCAATAAATTTCGATTTTCTCAGTGTCGCGCTTGCTCGTTGTTTACGATATGGATTACGAAAGGATTCGTGTACGAGAACTGTCTCAATCGAGGAAACGAGCCTCCGTAACGAAAGAACCTCGAAACGTCGCGCGAGACGAGACTCGTACATCACGCAAAAGCTTTTGTGAAACTTGTATGCCATGCAAATGTATAGCCTGATGTCACGCACATGCAATCGCGGTGCAATTCAACACTGATATTGTTACGATTATTGTTACAGCGATTTCCGATGGATAAATACACTTCCTTTAGCCGATTGTTATCGATCATGTTAAAATAAGAGAGGAGAGCGTGGCAACAGCAAGCAAGATAGACCACCGGAAAAAATAGTAACGCAATCATTTCCATAAGCTATTCCGTGAAAAAATCATTACAGTTGAAATCTTGAAAATAGTACGCGATAATATCTGAAGTTCCGCATGATTCTCGGGCCGTATTTCAGCACAAGGACAAAAATTGCTCTGCTCCGATTGGCTGACGATTCGCTGCTGACAGAGTATTCGTTGCGGATTGAATGCGCGAAAAAGCGGCAAGGACTGCCAGTGCTCGCGGTAGACAAACGTGCAGGAATCCAGATATCACTGTAATTAAAAATGACATGAATTGCAGCATTTTTGTCTCAACATGATTGTTCTGTTGATGAAAACATTCGAAAGCAACCTGAAAATAATAAGAGAATTTTAGACTGTCTTGACCGAGTTGTTAGCATCGCAGTGCAACGAGTTTATTGCAACGTCCTATCTTGCTTGCTTTGAAAGTACAATATTGCCTCGATAGTTGTCGCTTGTTCGGAAGCCAAAAATGTAAGATTCACAAAAATTTCCCGGATATGTAAACGACTCTTTTAAGAAGGAGACTGGGTTCTAGAAGAATTTTAATAAGTAGACTGCGGATCTGATGCAGTTCTGTCAAAATTGTGCATGTGCAATTTAAGATTCTACTTCTACTTGTCGCAATTGATACAGAAGTTTTTTTTATCGCGCATAAAGATCCGCAGTTCACTAATAAGTGACGGGTGTAAAATGAGACTGTTAAAAGTGTCAACGACAATTGCTACATTCGAGGCATTATTATATCTGATCGTTCTCTTCTTCCATGTTCACGCTTCGATAAGTTCGACCTGATTATTGTAAAATAGTTGCCTTCCCCGTCTACGAGGTATCATGCGTACCTCGTACACCATGATACGTTTGCACTTCGAACAGTGAAAAGTGTATACGGTTGTTTGCATGCCTGTATAACGATTCGAAACGGTGAGAGATTCGATGTACAATTGGTTTCAGTTACACGGCTTGCTGCATTAGCTAGCTTAGGTAGGCAAAACAATTCTGTGTAAATACATTATTAACATTCTAATGTATGTCTTAAGGATCACGGCATAAACTACTGATCGTGATACGTTTACTATTGACAATTGAATTGTTAATTCGAGTTGAAAATAAAATAGCTCATGCCTAATTAGGGCCTATAAGTGTATACAAACAAATAAAATATTGAGAATGAATTGTCATTGTTTTCTGTTCCGTTTATTGTCTGTACTTATTTATAAGGGTAGCCCTTTGTTACGTTCGCGGCGAGTTCTTCGCGCGCTCGTCTGTTCGGACCAGTGAAGTCAGGAAAAGTCACTACGCAAGGCGATGTATGCGCAAGGAGTCCCGCACAGCGGCGTGGCGCGTCTACCGGGTCGACATCGTAATTTTGAACTACGAAGGAGACGCAACGCAGATCCTCTATCTGATCGTAGTTCAGAATTGTAATGTTCGCCCGGTGGATGCGCTACGCCGTGGTAGTGACTTATCCTGGCTGCACTGGTTCGGACTGCTATCAATTGAGATTCAAACAGATAATGAGTAGCGTGATTGAAAATTGAGCATTAATATTATCTAGTGATTCGCGATGAATGAACAGCAGAGAAAAGCAGGCTGTTGCAAAAGATTATAGTATAGAAAAATTTTGGATAAAAATTGATCGGCTTTGACTGACGATAACTCAGCAAAAAATCATCGTAGAATGATGACTGTCTTTTTAAATTAAATCTCGAAACCTCTACTTCAACATAATTTTTCGGGATTTTATGTTTCATGCACCCTCACCACTATATCCCTTTAAATGCGAGACCATGTTTGTCATATCGAAAATCGCAAAGTTTGATGAAATGCACGGACTTTATAAAATTATTTTCAAATATGCCGTTTGCAGCCGAATGAAGTTTGATTTTTCCTCTAAAAAAGTATTTGACTAATTGAGAGTCTGGAAAAAAGTATTTGGTTATTCAACTCTTTATAAAGACGAACAATAAGTTGCTTTATATTCGCAGTATCCAATATTTTAGGACGCTTTTTCGTATGTGTGTGTATAACTGTTTTAACGAGTGCTGATGCTGATTTTATAAAATTTTTCAATTTATTTTTCCCCGTGATAATTTATTGCTTTGCCATTTTTATTCTTATCTTTTGCCATTAAGTTTTATACATTTTTCACAGAGGACAATGGTAGAGATTTATCAATTTTGGCCTTGATTACAACAATGAAAGCTTTGTACGAGCTTTGTCCTGAGGAACTCGAAATGTGTAAATATTTGCTTCATTGGACAATCATCTATCAGAAAAGTAATATTTAAATTATTTAATTTTTCTAAATTAATATTAATTTAGAAATTTATCTTTTGAATTGAAAATGAAAAAAATGAATTCTGCTTAAAA